TTTCAAGAATTCTAAAGCACAAAGCGATGTTGGATTGTTTTCAAAAATGAGAAAATCGATGGAAATTCTATTTTTTGATAAGCTATTTACTTTGGATCATTTGCAGTGATGAGGATTTGACGAATCGAGAGGATTGTACGGATCGTGAGTTTTTTTGAATAGGTTTTGATAGAATTTGGCTTTTTTGAGTGTTGAATCAAAAGAATATCTTGCTATAAGCATAATTTCAAAGAAAATGAGGCTGGATCTTGTTCAGAGTCGATCAAAACTGGACCATGAGAAGCCTTGGCCAGTTCCCACAGGCCAGAGAGGCCAGGGCATTCGGTCTGAGCATTCAAGGCCAAATATTGCAATTATCCTTTCTTTAACAGTCTTCTAGTATCGATCTATCACAAGAACACGAATTGCACGCAGCGTTTCATGCTTTATATTGGCATTATTGGGTTGCCAACGCTGAAAGATGTCGAGATTTCGCAAACTTTCGAATCACTGATGCCGCTGTTTCGAGCTTGTATCGCGGCTGAGAAAGCCAATCCACAAGATCAGAGGTTAGCAAACAAAGAAAATAGACAAGGCCTTGAAGCCAGAAGCTGGCTTCAAGGAATCTGACCGATCCTTTTTCAGCAATTTCTTTATCCTTGGTGCAAAGAGTTGCGATGTGACGCCTTTCAAACAATACAACAACATTCGTAGCGTCAACGCTTTGAGATTCGAGTGAGCTGATTTGCTTTCGATAATGGCTGATCTATCGATTGGTCTATTGGCCCAAGAATGTGGCAATAAGTTAAGCTTGGCTAAGCTTATTGCCTAGCCGGCTTGACAATAATATAGTGATCTAGCGCAACCCTCGCAACGACTCTTGAGCATTTTATCGACTCAGCGCTGAATTTCCCAGAAACTTGCCATCATTCAATGGAAAATGTGCAGTCTGTTCTACTGCTTGTGCTCAAGATCCCGAGTGGTAACTGTGAGTTTCAATTTAAAGTTTTAAATAAACTTTTAACTTTATGAATCTCCTAGTTTCAGTATTGACGCTTCTCAAAGGAAAATACGATATTATTTGGTTGAGAAATTTGATGAAAAGAGTTGTCGACGAGGATTTTGTCATCAAAGTGATCTTCAACGCCGAGCGATCGGTATTCATTAGAGAGATTTCCAAGGCCAGAGGTCGGCTCAAGTTTGGGCAGAACTGGTCATGACTATTGCTTGCCCAACCTCTCATGAGCTGACTATTAATAGAGCTAGAGCTGGTTACAGCTAGAGTAGTCTATAGGTAACCAAATCCTAGTAGACCAGAAGCCACAAGTTTCACAATAATCTCGATCAATCTAGAGAATCGAGCTTGACAGCAATAAGGTCGAAGAGGCGATGAACAACATCAGAAACCTAACTGAAAACTACATCTCATATGCAAGCTTTTCTTGAAATCGTTTTATCTTTCATTTTATTAAATCTAACAGAATTTTGAAATCTAGAATATTTTCAGGTGATTGACTCTTTACAAAACTACGAAGCAGTGAGCACGAATTATGGCTTGTGCACACCGCAACCATTGCCCACTTTTGCGCCAGTTTCCAGACAGCCGCAAACGGGTGTGTTCAAGGTTTTGGAATAGGAAATTGACCACCTGGTTCCAGAGTTCCGGGTCTAGAGCCGGGTTGAATGCCAGCTCTGGTTGGTTCGGTCGAATCCCAGACCCAGTGGCCAAGGCCAGACCAGACTCTGATCTGGCCTGACCGACCGTATCTGTCCATTGATACCTGTTTCAGACCCTAAACTAGCCTTGTTCTAATCTGCCAAAAGCAATGACAATGGCTTATTGGTTTATTATGGCCGATCGTAAATCAATGGCTTTTCTGCTATCTCTCTCTTTAGAGCACCATTTCGTGCCCAGTGCCCCAATGCCGCAAAAAAGCAAGAAATGGATCTGGGGAGTGGTGGTCGGCGGAATTGTCTTATTGGTGATCATTGGCTGTGCAGCGAGGCCATTGTATCGCTATTTGCAAAGGGTGAGTTGGCTTTGGCTTGGCTTAGGCTTAGGACAAGCTTGGGCTCAGACTTGGCTCAGGCTCAGGCTTAGGCTTGGCTTAGGCTTAGGCTCAGGTTTAGGCTTAAGAACAAGCTTAGGCTCAAGAAATCTAGCCAGCTTTCTTTAGGAATTCAGCCGTAGGCGAGTTGAATCTCTACCTTAGACCTGTTTAGTTATGGTACAAATGGCGCCTCGACGATCAAGATTTGTATGCGGTTGTGAGAAAGGTGGTTGTCGTTTTTCTTTAAGAATTGTTCCTTTACAGGATCAAATCTTCGCCACAGTGAACCCGAATCAACGGCAGAGGAATTGATTTAAAAAAAACACTTTTGATAATTCAAATTTATCCGATTACACACAAATACTATCTACAAAGTACCCTGTAAACTGGCCAAAAAAAAAATGAAAGAAAAAGCAAGGAATTCAAGAATGAAGTGTATTGCATTGAAATATCGCTAAAAATACTGTAAGAATCCGCATAAAATTGGAAAATGGATGTGTCAAAAAGGAATCAAATAGTCAAACTATCAAAAATGGAAAGCTTGAGGTTTAGGGTGAAGAAATTGACAGTAAAAGTAAGGTTTGTTTTCTAAGCAATCAGCCTAGTGCCTCCCAGAGCTTACAATTTACTCAAAAAATTGTCGAGAAGATGAAGGGAGAGGTGGCCACGCTCGTGTACTTGATCGAGATCACGAAGGGTGGAGAGCTAAAAAGTGATCTAGATACCGTAAAATAGCTTCTTTCTGTAGCATGACATTCAGAATTTGGAAATTTGATTTTAAAAAAGCGAGTTAACTGTTTTATAGTGTTTCATTGGACTTGAAGTCATAGAGAGAGCTAGTGAACTCACTAGTCTGTTATAAATAGTGGTCAAGGTACAGTAACTCGATCTTTTTTTAAGCTGACATCCAGGATTTAGATATCAGTGGGATTTTTTTGCCTATAATGCTTTTTTAACGATATTTCACCTGGGTCCCGTTTGCTCCAACGGCGAGAAACTCGTAAATCATTGATCGATAGATTTGAGTGGCTGTTTTTGTGTCATCTGAACGATTTGATTGTTCCCTTGCCGTAATCAGCTTCAAGCCAAAATGCTAATTTTTTTTAAACAATTACCACCGCCGTTCCCCTTCTCAACAGCATCATCAAAGTCGACGAATAGTGGGATGAGTTCGGCGTTGGGAACGAACTGAAATTTGAAATTTTCTTGAAATTTCTTCGATCCAGCTCCAGCTCACGGCAGTATTTCACAAACTTGTTGCCTTCGAAAGTCTCGAAAATCGATTTCGGAGTTGCGGAGGAGGAAACCGGTGATCTGATGGACTAAAGGGTATTTTGTGGGTGAAGCGCTAAAGAGCACAATGGAATGGAGTTTTTGAAAAGTGGAAACACCAAATACGGTTTTGTGTACATTCTACCGTAAACCTCTTGATTTCGCGCGCGTTCTAAAACGTGCTCCTTTAGAATATCTAAGGAGACTTTCTGCCATAAATTTCATTCTTTTCAATTCGTTCAGCAGGTGTATATGCCGTAAATTCTTTAATAGTGCCCCATCCTCCTCTAATGTGTGCCACACGGGCGGGGTACTCTCACGGTGTTTACGGGAGCTAGTAATAGTATTTTGTTCGGCGACTTTTCCTTTTATTAATTACGATGTTATCTCTGCTATAATTTTTCATTTAGGGGAGATGTCGAACAGGCCGGAGAGCAGCAAGCCTCAACTTGAGGCTAATCCAAGTGGATTGACCAATACCAAACTGAGCCAACCAGTGTTTCAAAAGGACTTCTTGGCACAGTTGCCAGAGGAGGTTTGTTAAAGCCTATGGGAGTAATTGTTTAATTTTAGATTGCTTATCGCATCATCGCCCATTTGACACCACGCGATTTGATGAGTTGTGCTGGCGTTTCGCGGACGTGGCAACGGTTTTGTGAAGATGATAAGACGTGGCGACAGAAATGTATCCAAAGCGGATATGTGGAATTTGATGCGCCAAGGTTTGTTACAGTTTTGAGCCGATAATATATCACTTAAAGGTACATATCTGATAGATTTATATTAAACTAGATCTTACACTTCTAAGGTATAGGATGATACTGTTACTGATTCAATAATGTGATTATTCTGCAGCAAAGAAAGCTTTAAAGCGAAAGAAAACAAATGATAATGTTTGTTTCGATGAACTGGTTCACATTTAAGAAATTGATTGTAAAAAGACTCGTCTTAAATTTATTTTTGTTTAGCTTTCGTTTTCTGGGAGGTTGGGCGGACAATCGAGCAAATGAGCAAGCGGGAATCACAATCTGTTCCCATATGGACCTTCAAGAAGCACATCAGAATCGACAAGCACGCGGGATCGCATATGGACAGTTAGTGACCGAACTTGTTGCGAAATTAAATCTTTTCTAGATGTTATGAGCGATCGTCATGGAAGTCCTTGTACTTGCGGAAGAAGCGAATCATTTCGAATTGGCGATCCCGAGCGATTCAATCTAGCACTGTTATAGAGGTTTGAATAAATGGTTTGACCGTAAAAATGGTTTTTAGGATGACTTTAAACCACCCATTTGTCTACGAATTCAGCCTGGTCGTATCATTACTGGTTCTCATGATTATAAGTTGCTGGTCTGGAATGTTGAAGATGCTCAAGTTTATTTTGCTTAATTGTTATTGTACGTCCGATTTTAGCCGGCTTTTGCTCTAACTGCAACTAATGGTCTCCCCATGTCGTATCAAGTGAGCGGAGATGGCAAATACATTGTCTGGTTAGTTAATAGACTATAGCTAGTGCAATTGATAAGTGTTGTCAAAGAAGCTAACAATTTTCTAAACAAAAATACTTGTGACAACAAAGTCTATTGCATTATTTAAGTGGCTCGACTGATCAAAGGGTGCACGTTTGGTGTGGTCAAACCGGCGTACAGCTTTATGTTCTGCGGGGACATACGAGTATTGTTTGGTGCATGAATCTACATGGTACAATGTGAGTAATCTAAATTTTGTACTTGAGTTAAAAGCATGATGTTTTAGTCTTGTTTCGGGATCGGATTTTGGATTTGACATACGGATTTGATTCCATGCATGAGGCTACATGGCACAACGTGAGTGATCTGAATTTTGTGCTTTAGCTAAAATCGTAATGTTTTAGTCTTGTTTCTGGATCGGACGACCAAACACTCCGTGTCTGGGACATTGTCGACGGGAAATGCCTTCACATTTTGACTGGCCACTTGGCGGCGGTGTGTGTATCAAAGTTATAGCCTAAGCAAAGCTAAATTTCAGGTGCGTTTTGTTAAGAACGAGTTGTATCTAGTGGCAATGATTTTACCGTAAAGGTTTGTACAGTTATCAGTGCAATTTATAATATTCTATTAGGTTTGGAATGTACACACAGAGGAGTGTTTGCACACGCTGACGGGTCACACGAAAATGATCAATTCTCTTTTGGTGAGTTGAGTTGTCAAATTTTGGCTTTAATCGGGATTCTGCTTGAGTTTGAGCCGGAGCGCGATCTTGTCGTGTCGGGTAGTCGTGACGGAACGATTCGCGTCTGGGATGTGCGAAGAGGAATTGGGTTTTACTTGTTTGCTATTCGGTTAAAATATCATCTATATTTATTCAGCATGCATCGCACATCTTGTCTGTCTTCAAGAGTTAGGGTTCACGGGTTGCTTTGGGATGCAGCTTCGCGGAAACATTTTGGTCTCCTGTTACGACTCGGACGTTTGGGTATGTTTAATCAATCCTATGAAAACTACTACCGTTTCTTTAGATTTGGGACATTCGTGAGGGTGGCTCGTGCATTCACCACTTACATGGCGTAAATGGTCAGACGTCGGCCATCACTTCGTTGCAATTGCTGGACTCGGGACTTTTGGTGACAGGTTCGATGAATGGCTCGGCCATGCTGTGGGATGTGGATAAAGGTATGCTGTTTTAAATTACCTGATACTATAGGCAATAAGATCCAGACTGCAAGCTGGGATTTAAAGTAGAATTTATTAACTACATAACTTGTCTCGTCAACTATTCAAGCTTCAATCTATGGCAAAGTTTAGTGTCTTGTTGTTAATTTTTTTCTATTTTAAGGTACCTTTGTTCGTGATCTCGTTCGGTCTCGTTCGGGTGAAGCTGGCCCTTATTATTTGGATCTCAAAGCCACTGAAACATTGCTCGTATGTGGAGTTCGATCGGTAGATGGAACCGAGGCCGCAAAGCTCATCTTCATCGATTTTGACGCATCATATCCATAGGTATATTTGTATTTTTGCTATTTCCCTAGCCCTTATTGTGATTTTCCGAAGAATTCTGTCGCTTTTTCCTTTCTTCTGAACGTTCATTGCTTTCCTTTCAATGATTACCCACATTATATACACTTGTATGCCATAGTCTTGATTTTGTGAACCTTTTTTCCATTAACCCGTTGCTAGTCATTGACCTTTTTTGAATCTTTCGAAATCATGAAGTGCAAACCATCCTTGAAAATTATTGTTTCTTCGAATTGGTTGGTTGGTTGCTGTCAACGTTCGATTATTTTTAATCCGTATCGAGTCCTGTGATTTATTATTTGCTTTATTTTCAAGATTCAAGAATATATATCTCACCGGTTTAAATCTAGCTAAACTGCACAAGCAACTGATATTGGCAAAAAAGCAACTCAAGTCAACTGCCAAACTCCTTCAATGAAGACGATTCCGCAGATGAATATTTTCACTCCGACGAAAGCTCTCGCTTTAGGCCTACAGTGTTCAAATGTACGGTGTGCTTTTTAATTTTTGATTGTTCACACGTTCCAATTAACAGAATCTTGCTTACCATTTGGTTACACGAAACTCTAACAAGGGAAATGCATCCACTTAAGGTGAACTTTTGGATCGAGATCCAACCAATTCTTTTTATTTTGATCTTACAAATCTTGTCTATAAACCACAAATCTAGAATAGACGCTTCTTCTTTCTGCTTTCCTAAAAGAAATTGATTGTGCGCAAAGCGCAAAGATTGTGCTGAAAATGGGTGTTGTGAAAGATCGTTTATTCTGTCCTTTTTGTGGAAGGTAACAATTTTGTTCATAAACCTCAATACAAAAAAATTCATTGTGATGCTTCCTGAAATCGAAAACTGAAACAAATTTAAGTGTTGAAAGATCAAAATACAAAGAATGGTTTGGTTCGCGAATAAGCACTTTCACAAAACCTATTTTCTGTACAATTTTTGCTGGCCATTCCTTTCGGGAAAGGAGAAAGAAAGAGGGGGTAGGCTAATTTCCGCCATTTTATTTGCGCAACAGGGTCATTTGCGCAACTAGGCTTTTTGCGCAACTCGCCATAACTTTTTTTTCTATGTGACACAATCTTTATGTTTTTGATTTCATTTTGTAGATCTCAATAAGTGCAACAAAATGAAACCAAAAGTTATGGCGAGTTGCGCAAACAACCTAGTTGCGCAAATGACCCTGTTGCGCAAATAAAATGGCGGAAATTAGCCTACCCCAGAAAGAGTGTTTATTTTATAATTTTGTATATAAACTTTAATTTTAGTCTTTCAACTTAAAACAACTTAAAAATTTAGTGTGATACCTTCTGAAATATAGAAATAAAACAAATATAATTGTTGAAAGCTCAAAATAAAAAGAATGCTTTAGATCGCGATCCAAAAGTTAACCTTAATTGGGTGCACTTGCCTTGTTAGAGTGTTAGAGACAAAATGGCAAGCAAGATTCTGTTACTCGAAAAATCAAAAGTTAAGAAGCACACTGTACATTTGAGCACCGTAGGCCTAAGGCCAGAGCTTTTGTCGGAGTGAAAATTTTCATCTTTTCATCCGCCGAATCGTGTTCATTGAAGGGGTTTGGCAGTTGACTTCATTTGCTTCAGTGCTTCTGCAGTTTAGTTAGATTTAAACCAGTGAGATATAGATTCTTGAATCCTTTAGCTTAAACCAAAGTAGCTAAAACCTTTCTCCGTTTTTACTTGACTCATTTTTGATTTCAACTTCAATTTCTTTTTTAGATATCGAAAGAGGCCTTACATTGTGATCACTGCCGTGGAGAAGATCGAAAGCAATGATGAGCCGACCAGTAAGTATGTGATGTGGGTCGATGATTCAGAAAAAAAGCTTATCCCACAGCTTTCGATAAATACACCTACACTGCAACTAAACAACCTTGGGGCGTTCTTCAGACGCGCAACGATCGGAGTGAACTTTACTTATTTTCGATTATTTCGTAATTTTTGCTCTTTCTCTAGGTCTTATTATGATTTTCTGAAGAATTTTTGATTTTTTTTCGATTTTTTTCTGCTGAGATTTCATTGCTCTCTCGGTGAGCGCTTGTAATTTCCTTTTGCATGTTTTCCACATTTTGTACACTTTCTTGTAATCGAAATTTTCCCCCCACCTTTTCTATTAACCTGCTTTTATTTGCTAACAATTGTTCTCATAACAACGGTCGTTTTTTTTTCTTTGTCGAGAGTTCTCTTATGTGATTGTTTTCAGAGGTATTTGTGTTACTTTAAATTGTATAATTCGTTTTTTCGTTAACTATATTGCAAGATGAATGGCTTAAACTGGCTCACAAATAAAAAGAAACACGGTAAACTTCTTTAGAATTTCGTGTAACAAAATGGTAGACAAAAATCTGTTACTTGAAACGGGTGAGCAATCAAACGTTAAAAAGTACACTGCATATTTGCCCCAGTGGGCAATCAGTTTACGAAAATTGCTAACAATAATGACCATGAGAATTTTTGCTTAAAAATGCTACTTTTATACCCAAAGAATATAGTATTTCAGATAATTTCAGACGCTGCAAAGCCCATTTGCCGGCGACTTGGAGAACCATTGTCAAAGTTGGTGTCTGGAAGAGTAGACTAGCATTAAAACTCACAAAACTAACAAAACTAACTTTAATTGGGCCTTAAAAGGATATTTTACACCCTAGCCACCGTAGCCTTAAAAAATGAATTGTTTTTGGCTAAAAAACGTCTAGTTCATTATACGACGCTATTTTGCGGCTTAGCTACCGTAACCCTCACTTCCAGTTATTGCCAATTGCGATTCCCGGCTCGCCGTTGGGTCGTGTGCCACCCAGATCTCAGCCACACGCAATGCCGTCTGTGGTTGCATCCATGAAACTCGAGAAGAGCTCAAGCAACGCATCGCCTCGATCCCCGAGGTTTTCAATGAGGTGAGAGAACTTTTTGAAAGATCCATAAGCGATTCTGGAAGTCATATGAAGCGTATGCCACTCCAGTAAAACCCAATATAGGGCTATGAGTCCCTGTGAATCGTCACATGATGGTAACCACTCTTGAACTTCATGAATTCAATTGAAATCATGTAATCTCGGTGAGCTAACGTGTCAACGCGCGAGCCCAAATCTTCTATTTTGAATTTTATGTGAGGCAAGAAAGAGCTAAAGTACCGAAGGTCTAAACTGAGCCTCAATTTATCTTTTAAAGAAGTGACGTTGTCTAACTTAAGCATTTCCCCAATAAAATCTGCTTTTACCTTAAACGAATGTATCCAATCGTATGCCCGGTGTTGATCCTCAGCACCCACGACGTTTTCCTCGCTCATTTCCCCGTCATCGGTCATCGTCCGATCGGCAGTCTCCATCGCAGAAGTGCTTCTATAGCAGCAAGGGATTTTAAGCTATTTTAAGGTGCTTTTGTGCTTGTCCATTTACAATTATAGTCAATTCAAATAACTTTAGCGCTGGGACGCAAAAAAACCTTTGCGGCTAAATATGACGAATGAAAAATTCTTCGCCCCGTTCAGGTTAAATACCCGTAAATCTTCGCCACCCGCAGCTTCAACACCCCAGCGTCTTTTCAATTCTGCTGATAAACCTAACCTTACCTACGAGATGGTGCACTAAAGGTTATTTTGTGGGTGAATGGAATGGAGCTTTCTGAAAATTGGAACCACAAAATATGGTTTTGTGTACATTCTACCGTAGGCCTTTTGATGGCGGGCCTTTTGATCTAAAAACGCGCCCCTTTCGTGTATTTAAGGAGACTTTTCGCGATAAAATTCATTCCGGTCAATTCATTTAGTAGACATTAGACATGGGAAAATTCCAACCGAAACCTAATTCCACCTTCGTTTTCTCAGCCGTCTCTTGGTCGATTGTTCTGAGATTTTGTTTACAAACAGAGAATGCTAATTTCTATTTGTAAACAAAATTTCAGAACAATCGACCAAGAGACGGCTGAGAAAACGAAGGTGGAATTAGGTTTCGGTTGGAATTTTCCCATGTCTAGTAGACATATCTGCCGTAAATACTCTAATAGTACCCCATCCCTCTAGTGCCCTACGGGTAGACTTGCCTATCGATATTATCAATACAAACGACATGCTAATGTTTGAACCTTTCGATCCCTGTTTCTAGAACAGCTCTTAATCTGAGAATTGTTTCATTAGGAAGTCAAGAATGTCAGGTTTTGATTGCTATTTTATACATGGCGACTTTTAATGAGTAGGCACCTCATAAACCTTAACGATACTTGATAAGATAAGAAACGATAAGCTTTTTAAGGCACTCACCTATGTGAATTTGCTATGTGTGAAATAGCAATCAAACGCTGACATTCTTGACTTTCCAATGAAATAATTTTGCAGATCAATAGCTGTTCTAGAAACTGAGGTCTAAACGGTCAAACATGAGCTTACCGCTTGTATCGATAATACAGATAAGCAAATCTAACCATCGGTGCGGTACCATTACAATATTTACGGTAGCTAGTAGTAGTATTTTGCTCAGGCGTTTTTCCTTTTCTTATTTACGGTCTTATCTCTGCTGTCATTTTTCATTTAGGGTCGATGTCGGACCTAAGCCTAAGCCTTTAGAACGCAAAACAAGCTTTACGTCTAAAAATGACGAATGAACAATTCTTCGCCCCCATTCACAGTATTTACGGTAACTAGTAGTAGTCTTGTCTTCGGGTTTTTTTTTTTCTTTTATTATTTACCGTGTTATCTCTGCTATAATTTTCCATTTAGGGTCGATGTCGGACAAGCCGGAGAGCAGCAAGACTCAACTCGAGACTTTGGAAGCGGATCGACTGGAGAAACTGTCGGCAAAGCCATCACCCGTGCTCACAAAGCGGGCCAACATCCAAGTGGAACTGAACCAAAAGCTGTTGGAGCTGCTCGAGGAAGGGACCGACCAGAGCCGAGAACAAGCCAAGAAACTTCTCATCGACCGGAACGCGCTCTTAGTGGCTGGTGATGCAAATACTCAACTCGAAGAGTAAAGATAAGTAACCTTAAACAGTGAAATTTTCAAATTCAGGGATATCATCGAACCATTGTTCCAAAAGGATTTCTTGTCACAGTTGCCAGAGGAGGTTTGTCTTTGGTTAAAGCTTGTGGAACTAATTGTTTATTTTTGGGTTGCTTATCGTATCATCGCCTATTTGGCACCGGGCGATTTGACGGTTTGTGCTGGCGTTTCGCGGACGTGGCGGCGGCTTTGTGAAGATGATCAGACGTGGCGACGGAAATGTTTGGAGAAAGGATATGTGGAATATGCACCAAGGTTTGTTACAGTTTTGAGCAGATAATATAACCCTTTAAAATACAAATCTGATAGATTTATATTAAACTAGATCTTTAGTCTTGTAAAATATGGGACACTAATGTTATTAATTAAAAAGATGTAAGGCGAAAGAAAACAACATCATAATGTTTGTTTCAAAGAACTGGTTCACATTTAAGAAGTCGATTAGAAAAAGATTCCGCTTAAACTTGTTTTTTTTTAGCTTTCGCTTTCTCGGAGGCTGGGCGACGAATCGAGCAGATGAGCAAGCGGGAATCACCATCTGTTCACATATGGACCTTCAAGAAGCACATCAGAATCGACGAGAACGCGAGGACGCATATGGACAGTTAGTGACGCAACTTGTGGCTGAATTAAGTTTTTTTCTAGATGTTATGAGCGATCGTCATGGAAGTCGTTGTACCTGCGGAAGAAGCGAATCATTTCCAATTGGCGCTCCCGAGCGATTCAATCAAGCACTGTTCTAAGGGTTTGGACAAATGTTTTGCCTATAAAAATTGTTTTAGCCTCACGGTTTTAATCGGATCCATCATCTACAGGTTCAGTCTGGTCATATCGTTGCTGGTAATGATCGTGATAATACGTTGCGGATCTGGAATGTTGATGATGCTCAAGTTTGTTTCCCTTTTCCATTATTATACATCCTAATTTAGCCGGCTTTCACTCTAACTGGCCACATGGATGGTGTTAGGACGTCTCAAGTGAGCGATGATGGCAAATACATTGTCAGGTTAGTTAATAGGCTCTAGCTAGTGCAATTGATAAGTGTTGTCAAAGAAGCTAACAATTTTCTAAATAAAAATACTTGTGACAACAAAGTCTATTGCAATATTTAAGTGGCTCGACTGATCAAACGGTGCGCGTTTGGTGTGGTCAAACCGGTGCACAGCTTCATGTTCTGCGGGGACATACGGATTTTATTGCATGCATGAGTCTACATGGCACAACGTGAGTGAACTGAATTTTGTGCTTTAGCTAAAATCGTAATGTTTTGGTCTTGTTTCTGGATCGGGCGATCAAACACTCCGTCTATGGGACATTGTCGACGGGAAATGCCTTCACATTTTGGCTGGCCACTTGGGGGATGTTTGTGTGTCAAATTTCGAGCCTAAGCAGAGTTAAATTTCAGGTTTTGTGTGTGAAATTTGATGGAGAACGAGTTGTATCTAGTGGCAATGATTTTAATGTAAAGGTTTGTAATGCTTTTTTGTTCAATTTTATAAGACGTTTGGAAGGTTTGGAATGTGCAGACTGGGGAGTGTTTGCACACGCTGACGGGTCACAACGATTCAATCGAATCACTTTTAGTGAGTTGAATTGTCAATTTTTGGCTTTAATCAGGATTCTGTTTTAGTTTGAACCGGAGCGCGATCTTGTCGTCTCGGGAGGTCGGGATGGAACGATGCGCGTCTGGGATGTGCGAAGAGGAAGTGTGTTTTACTTCGCTATTTTGTTTCAATCTCCTCTATATTTGTTTCTTTCAGCATGCATCGCGATTCTTGTCACACATCAAAATTCCTGCTCTGACGTCCAGCTTCGCCGAAATATTTTGGTCTCCTGCTATACCGACTCTGACGTTGGGGTACGTTTATCACTCGTTAGACAACTACTTCTTTTTCTTTAGGTTTGGGACATTCGTGATGGTGGTTCGCGCATTCATCTCCTGCAAGACGTAAGTGGTCGCACGTTTGAAATCACTTCATTGCAATGGCTCGACTCGGGACTTTTTGGTGACAAGCTCTAACGATGGCTTCGTCAAGCTGTGGGATGTGGATAAAGGTATGTGGTTCTAAATTACGTAGTAATGTAGGCTGTAAGATCGGCAAATTTGTCCAGAGTTCAAGTTTTCTTCTAAAGTAGAATTTATTAGCTACATGATTTGACTCGTGAACTATTCAAGGTTAAAGCTATGTTCAGGGTTAGTATTCTGTTGTTAGTTTTTTATCAACTATACGAGAATTTTGTGATTTTCAGTTATTTTTGTTCGTGACCTCGTTCGTCTTGAGGCTGGCAGTTGGATTTGGAGACTCTTCGCGACCGAAACATCTCTCCTATGTGCAGTTCTATCGCAAAACGGAACCGAGAACAGAAATTTGATCTTGATTGATTTGACGCATCGTATCCCTAGGTATATTCGGATTGTTCTTTGGTCTGATTTTTCTCAAGAATTTTTTTCCGGTTTTTTCAATTCTTCTATGTTTTTCATGGCTTGCTCGATTGGCGTTTGTGATTTCCTATTTCCCACATTTTACACACTTTCTTGTATACCAAATTCACATTTTGTCTACCTTTATTTTGCCATTGAGCTGCTATTATTTGCTAGAAATTGTTGTGATAACAACAATCTTTTCCTTTTTCTGTCAACAGTTCGATTGTGTGATTGTTTCCAGGGGTGTTTGTGTTGCTTTCAGTTGTGTAAGTCGTTTTCGTTACACAACTTACACATGTAAGATAAATGGCTTAAACTGGCTCACAAATAAAAAGAAACAGTAAACTTCTTTCGAGTTTCGTGTAACAAAATGGTGGGCAGGGTTTTGTTACTTGGAACGTTGAAAAGTACACGGTACATTTGAACATAACAGGCCTAAAGCCATTGTTTTTTCTTGGAGTGAAAATTTTTAGCCCTCAAACCCTATTTAGGGTGAGTCATTGAAGGGGTTTATCAGTTGACTTGCTTATGCAGTTTAGTTAGATTTAAGTTAGTGAGAGATACACTACTGGATATAATTGTCAGCTCCGAGCCAAACTGGCATTTAAATTACTATTGTTATTGTTGAATGACTTGTCTATTCTTATGCAAATGCGATCTCCCCTGTGCTTATCCCTTTCATCACCGAGAAGCAGGCGGTGCTTGGGATTGCCTAGGAGGACAAGTGCGGCTCTCACTTGGAGTCCCCCTTCCCCTTCCACTCAATTGTAATCTATTCGTCCTATCGTACTACTGTAAATAAAGATAAATATCTTCTGTGTCTATGCAACTGCCGTTCAGATCGGTCATTTCACGGGGACTCCCTCTAATACGTTGGTGGAGTTGAGTCGGGTTGTCGGGGTGTTAGAGGTAATGGCAGGATATCAAAAGGGGTCCACTCTCTTTAACTTAACCCAAATTCTAGTCCATATCCGTTACTCCTAGGAACAAAAATGAAGGTTCCACCATAGAATTCGGCACTTCTAACACAACCAGACTTGAGAGTCAGTTCAAAAAGTTGAAAATGCATTTCGAGCTTGCCTAAAATTATCAATTATCAAATTATCAGAAACTCTTTCGCTAAATTTCCCCAATGACATCCAGATCAAAAGAAAATCGCAAAATTTTCAGCAATTCTTTCAGAAAATTTCAGTAGAAAGTTGAAGCTATGAAATGAACATTACTCGAATTTTTTAAATTGTCAAAATCAAAAAAACACTACTAAATTTCTTCGATGACCTCCAGATTGGCTAAGAATCGCAAAATTTTACTTAAATCTTTGGAAAAACAAATAAAAAACAACGAGAAATCGGAATAGTGGAGAATGTTATCTTGGAGCGGTAATCTTTTCTCGCTGAATCAATTCTAGGCCAGCACTTTGGACCCAAATTGGCCTCACTTTTGACTTTAGACAAAAAAGACGAACTAGCGTCGTGCTATCCAGGATGGCGAAATTTCAAAAAACCAAATCTCAAAAGCAATTGAGCGCTTGTAAAACCGCTTGTTGTTGGGTTGACGGTGTGGAATTGCAAAGATCACCCCTGCACAGACATTGCTCACCGCGAAGTCTGAAAACGATTTGGATTTGGTGATAGCAATTGGGCTATCATCAATTCGGATTTGGATCATCAATACTACTTAGTAATAAGAATACTTACCGTAAATACTGTAATAGTACCCCACACCCCTCGTACAGTCGCGTGGTCGCAAAAGTTTTTTAGTATTTCATTTTTTTCAAAGCGCCCGTACTTTAAAAAAATGTGTCTTTGGTATGAAAAAATAGCCCTGAATTTCAGCTATTTTTTGATAACTAAGCGCGCATTGTAGCATAACCTAGTGTCGAGAAAAACGCGTTCAAAGCTAGACTACGCAACACTTCCCACCGTCATTATGGGAGTGTGGTACTATCACAGTATTTACGGTAAATTAGTTTAGCTACATTTTATGCCATGTACAGATCTTTTAGAAAAAAAAAGAAAAAAAACTCGGCACTAGCTAGATCCGAAACATTCTAGTCGCAAAAATCTATTCGCGCTCTTTTAAGCGTTTTTTGCATTGGCGTTTTTTGCATCTTTTAAATGGTGCTCTTTTGGCGGCGCTCTTTTGATTTAGTCCTCTGTTGCTAATACATTAAAAGCGTGCCCAAGTATGAATCAGTGTTGAAAACCATTTCGAGATTAGGGCCTGAAAGTGGAGGTCCTCCCTTATAAATTTATCATATCATTATTTACAAATATAGTCAAATTAAATCAATTTAGCGCTGAAAACTTGGCTCTTTGTGCTAAAACGGAAAACAAACTTTACGTCTAAAATCACGAATGAACAATTCTTTGCCCCCGTTCACAGTATTTACAGTAGCTAGTAGTAGTCTTGTCTTCGGGTTTTTTTTTTTCTTTTATTATTTACGGTGTTATCTCTGCTATAATTTTCCATTTAGGGTCGATGTCGGACAAGCCGGAGAGCAGCAAGACTCAACTCGAGACTTTGCAAGCGGATCTACTGGAGAAACTGTCGGCAAAGCTGAAGCCCGATTCAAAGCCATCACCCGTGCTCACAAAGCCGGTCAACATCCAAGTGGAACTGAACCAAAAGCTGTTGGAGCTGCTCGAGGAAGGGACCGACGAGAGCCGAGAACAAGCCAAGAAACTTCTCATCGACCGGAACGCGCTCTTAGTGGCTGATGATGCAAATACGGCAGAAAAGATAAAAGCGTTGACAGAAGCTGTTGAGTCTCTGACTCAACAGAGCTTTGCCATTCAAAGCCTCGTCGGAGCACTCTCCGATCCACAAGTTCGGTTGATGAGGTAAAGAGAATGATCTTAAACAGTGAAATTTTCAAATTCAGGCATCTCAGCGAACCATTGTTCCAAAAGGATTTCTTGTCACGGTTGCCAGAGGAGGTTTGATAAAGCTTGTGGGAGTAATTGTTTATTTTTAGATTGCTTATCGTATCATTGCCTATTTGACACCGTGCGATTTGATGACTTGTGCTGGCGTTTCGCGGGCGTGGCGGCGGCTTTGTGAAGATGATCAGACGTGGCGACGGAAATGTTTGGAGAACGGATATTTGGAATTTGATGCACCAAGGTTTGTTACAATTTCGAGTCGATGATATAACACTTAAAAATACAAATCTGATAGATTTATATTAAACTAGATTTTAAGACTTGTAAAATATAGGACAATAATGTTATTAATTCCAAAGCAAACAAAGATGTAAAGCGAGAGAAAACGTATGATAGTGTTTGATTAGATGAACTGATTCTCGTTTAAGAAATCGATTAGAAAATGACTCGTCTCAAATTTGTTTTTGTTTAGCTTTCGTTTTCTCGGAGGTTGGGCGACGAATCGAGCAAATGAGGAAGGGGGAATCACAATCTCCTCACATATGACCCTTCAGGAAGCACGTCAAAATCGACGAGAACGCGAGATCGCATATGGACAGTTAGTGACGCAACTTATTGCTGAGTTAAGTTTTTCTAGATGTAATGAGCGATCGTCATGGAAGTCACTGTACTTGCGGAAGAAGCGAATCATTTCAAATTGGCGATCCCGAGCGATTCAATCAAGCACGGTCCAAAAGGTTTAAACAAATGTTTTCACTAAAAGTTTTTTTTCAGGCCTATGAAGGGATCTTTCGGCTACAAGTTCACTCTGGTCGTATTGTTACTGGTTCTGATAATAATACGTTGCAGGTCTGGGATGTTGATGATGCTCAAGTTTGCTTAATTTAGCCGGCTTTCACCCTAACTGGCCATATGGGTCATATTTTGACATTTCAAGTGAGCGATGATGGCGAATACATTGTCAGGTTAGTTTAGAGACTATAGCTAGTGTAATTCGTAAGGGTTGCCAATGAAGTTAACAAAATTCGAAACAGAAATACTTGTGACAACAAAGTCTATTCCAATATTTAAGTGGCTCCTCTGATCAAACCGTGCGCGTTTGGTGTGGTCAAACCGGTGTACAGCGTTATGTTCTGCAGGGGCATACGGGTACTGTTAAGTGCATAAGTCTACATGGCACAACGTGAGTGAACTGAATTTTGTGCTTTAGCTAAAATCGTAATGTTTTAGTCTTGTTTCTGGATCGCACGATCAAACACTCCGGGTTTGGGACATTGTCGACGGGAAATGCCTTCACATTTTGACTGGCCACTTGGCGGAGGTAGTGTATTAAAGTGATGGCTTTAGCAAAGTTATATTTCAGGTGCGTTTTGTGCTATTTGATGGAAAACGGGTTGTTTCTAGTGCTGATGGTGATGATTTTACCGTAAAGGTTTGTTAATTGTTATTGGTGAAATTTTATAATATTCTATTAGGTTTGGAATGCACACACGGAGGAGTGTTTGCACATGTTGACGGGTCACACGGATATAATCCTTTCACTTTTGGTAAGTTGAATTGTCGAATTTTGGCTTTAATCAGGATTCTGCTTTAGTTTGAGTCAGAGCGTGATCTTGTTGTGTCGGGTAGTCGTGACGGAACGATTCGCGTCTGGGATGTGCGAAGAGGAAGTGGGTTTTACTTGTTTGCTATTCGGTTAAAATATCATCTATATTTGTTCAGCATGCATCGCACATCTTGTCTTTCATCAAGGGTCACAGCCGAGTGGTGACTTTGAGGTACAGCTTCGCGGAAATATTTTGGTCTCTTGCTATTACGACTCGGAAGTTAAGGTATGTTTAATCAATTCTATGAAAACTACTTCCCTTTTCTTTAGGTTTGGGACATTCGTGACGGTGGCTCGTGCACTCATCGTTTACGAGAGGCAAATGGTCGCACGTCGAACATCACTTCATTGCAATTGCTTGACTCCGGACTTTTGGTGACAGGTTCGATGGATGGCTCGGTCATGCTGTGGGATGTGGATAAAGGTGTGCTGTTTTACATTACCGAATACTATAGGGCAGAAAGTCCATACTATAGGCTATGGGATCCAGACTTCAGATTTTCCCCTAAAGTAGAATTTATTAACTACAGAACTTGGCTCGTTAACTATTCAAGCTTAAATCTATGTTGAGGTTCAATATCTAGTTGTTAATTTTTTTGCATTTTTAGGTATCTTCGTTCGTGATCTCGTTCGTCTTGCATCGTGTGGATATGGCGGTTACAATTGGCTTCTCAAAGCGACTGAAACATTGCTCGTAGGTGCATTTGAAGCGAGATTGGCAAGGAGCACAAATCTGATGTTGATCGATTTTGACGCATCGTATCCATAGGTATATTCGTATTTTTGCACTTTCCTAAGCCTTGCGATTTTCTGAGGAATTCTTTTGGTTTTTCAATTCTTCTGAACTTTCATTGCTTGTGATTACCTTTCAAATATTTCCCACATTTTGCACACTTTTATGGCAAAGTCTTCATTTTGTGAACCTTTTTTTCCATTTTCTATTTTTTGAGCTTCGCATGCTTCGTTGGTGGCTGGAAACATTCGATATTGTTTTGATCCATATCAACTCCTGTAATTCTTTATTTGCTCGATTTTCCAACGCTTGTTCTCGGAACAGCGGTCGTTTTCTTTTTTGTCAAGAATTTCCCTTGTGTGATTGTTTCCAGAGGTGTTTCTATTGCTTTCAGTTGTGTAAGTCGTTTTTCGTTACACAACTTACACATCGTAAGATAAATCGCTTAAACTTGCACACAAATAAAAAGAAGCAGGTTGAACTTGCAAGGGAAGTGCACCCACTTAAGGTGAACTTTTGGATCACTATCAATAGTGATTAATAATCACTATCAATAGTGATTATTATAAAAAGAAGATCAATAGCCAAGTCTACATCTGAATCCCCTTATTAGCTCAGTCAGAATGGAAAGCCCAGTTCCAGACTTTTATCTTTTCGAATTTTGTTTTCGATTTTCGGCGTTAGTGAGGTTAAAAAGCTATCGACCATTGCAATAATTCTTTTTCCGATTCCGATCATTTTTCTCAAAGAGCAAAACCTTCAACAAGTGCTTAGAAAGAGATTAAAGTTGTATTGACGGGGATTTGTCTTTGAGAGTTATCAGACTTTCGTCTCTTTTCAAGAATTCTAAAGCACAAAGCGATGTTGGATTGTTTTCAAAAATGAGAAAATCGATGGAAATTCTATTTTTGATAAGCTATTTACTTTGGATCATTTGCAGTGATGAGGATTTGACGAATCGAGAGGATTGTACGGATCGTGAGTTTTGAATAGGTTTTGATCGAATTTGTCTTTGTTGACTGTTGAATCAAAAGAATATCTTACTATAAGCATAATTTCAAAGAAAATGAGGCTAGATCTGGTTCAGATTCGATCAAAACTGGACCATGAGAAGCCTTGGCCAGATCCCACAGGCCAGAGAGGCCAGGGCATTCGGTCTGAGCATTCAAGGCCAAATCTTGCAATTTGCCTTTCTTTAACAGTCTTGTAGTATCGATCTATCACAAGAACACGAATTGCACGCAGCGTTTCATGCTTTATATTGGCATTGTTGGGTTGCCAACGCTGAAAGATGTCAGAGATTTCGCAAACTTTCGAATCACTGATACCGCTGTTTAGATCTTGTATCGCGGCTGAGAAGGCCAATCCACAAGATCAGAGGTTGGCAACAAAGAAAATAGACAAGGCCTTGAAGCCAGAAGCTGGCTTCAGGGAATCTGACCGATCCTTTTCAGCAATTTCTTTACCCTTGGTGCAACGGGTTGCAATGTGACGCCTTTCAAACAATACAACAACATTCGTAGCGTCAACGCTTTGAGATCCAAGTGAGCTGATTTGCTTTCGATAATGGCTGATCTATCGGTTGGTCTATTGGCTCAAGAATGTGGCATTAAGTTAAGCTTGGCTAAGCTTATTGCCGAGCCGGCTTGGCAATAATATAACGATCTAGCACAACCCTCGCAACGACTCTTGAGCATTTTATCGACTCAGCGCTGAATTTCCCAGAAACTTGCCATCATTCAATGGAAAATGTGCAGTCTGTTCTACTGCTTGTACTCAAGCTCTCGAGTAGTAACCGTGAGTTTCAATTTAAACTTTTAAATAAACTTTTTACTTTATGAATCTCCTAGTTTCAGTATTGACGCCTCTCAAAGAAAAATACGATATTATTTGGTTGAGAAATTTGATGAAAAGAGTTGTCAACGAGGATTTTGTCATCAAAGTGATCTTCAACGCCGAGCGATCGGTATTCATTAGAGAGATTTCCAAGGCCAGAGGTCGGCTCAAGTTTGGGCAGAACTGGTCATGACTATTGCTTGACCAACCTCTCCTGAGCTGACTATTAATAGAGCCAGAGCTGGTTACAGCTAGGATAGTCTGTAGGTAACCAAATCCTAGTAGACCAGGAAGCCACAAGTTCCACAATAACCTCAATCAATCTAGAGAATCGAGCTTGACAGCAATAAGGTCGAAGAGGCGATGAACAAGATCAAAAACCTAACTGAGAATTACATCTCATATGCAAGTTTTTTCTTGAAATCGTTTCATCTTTCATTTTATTAAATTTGACATGAAATTTTGAAAATAGAATGTTTTCAGGTGATTGACTCTTTACAAAACTACGAAGCAGTGAGCACGAATTATGGCTTGTGTACACCGCAACCATTGCCCACTTTTGCGCCAGTTTGCGCCATTGCCCACTTTGCGCCGCCAGCCGCAAACGGGTGTGTTCAAGGTTTGGAATAGGAAATTGACCACCGGGTACCAGAGTTTCGGGTCTAGAGCCGGGTCGAATGCCAGCTCTGGTTGCTCCGGTCGAATCCCAGACCCAGTGGCCAAGGCCAGATGAGACTCTGGTCTGCCTGACCGACCTTATCTGTCCATTGATACCTGTTTCTGTCCCTAACCTAGCCTTGTTCTAATCTGCCAAAAGCAATGACAATGGCTTATTGGTTTTATTATTATGGCCGATCGTAAATCAATGGCTTTTCTGCTATCTCTCTCTTTAGAGCACCATTTCGTGCCCAGTGCCCCAATGCCGCAAAAAAGCAAGAAATGGATCTGGGGGAGTGGTGGTCGGCGGAATTGTCTTATTGGTGATCATTGGCTGTGCAGCGGGCCATTGTATCGCTATTTCCAAAGGGTGAGTTGGCTTAGGCTCAGGCTCAGGCTTAGGCTTGGCTTAGGCTCAAGAAATCTAGCTTTCTTTAGGAATCCGGCCGTAAGTGAGTTGAATCTCTACCTTAGACCTTTTAGTTATGGTACAAATGGCGCCTCGACGATCAAGATTTGTATGCGGTTGTGAGAAAGGTTGTTGTCGTTTTTCTTTAAGAATTTTTCATTTACAGGATCAAATCTTCGCCACAGTGAACCCGAATCAACGGGAGAGGAACTGATTTGAAAAAGCACTATCGATAATTCAAATTTATCCGAATTACACACAAATACTATCTAAAAATACCCTGTAAACTTAAAGAAAAGCAAGGAATTCCAAGAATGAAGTGTATTGCTTTGAAATATCGCTAAAAATAATGTAAGAATTGCAAACATAAAATTAGAAAAATGGATGTGTCAAATAGGAATCAAATAGTCAAACTATCAAAAATGGAAAGCTTGAGGTTTTAGGGTAAAGAAATTTACAGTAAAAAGTACATTTTTTACTAAACAATCAGCGTAGTGCCTTCCAGATCTTACAATTTACTCAAAAATCGTCGAGAAGATGCAGGGAGAGTGGCCACGCTCGTGTACTTGATCGAGGTCACAAAGGGTGGAGAGCTAAAAAGTGATCTTAGATACCGTAAGTAGCTTCTTTCTGTAGCATGACATCCAGAATTTGGAAATTGATGTAAAAAAAGCGAGTTAACTGTTTTTTAGTGTTTTATTGGACTTGAAGTCAGAGAGAGCTGCTAGTGAACTAACTAGCCTGTTATAAATAGTGGATCAAGTTACAGTGAACTCGATCTTTTTTTAAGCTGACATCCAGGATTTAGATATCTGTGGGATTTTTGGCTATAATGCTTTTTTGACGATATTTCACCTGGGTCTGGTTTGCTCCAACGGCGAGAAACTCGTAAATCGCTGATCGATAGATTTGAGTGGATGTTTTTGTGTCATCTGAACGATTTTGTGGATTGTTCCCTTGCCGTAATCCTTGCTTCAAGCCAAAATGCTGGATTTTCTTTAAACAATTATCGCCGCCGTTCCCTTTCGCGACAACTCATCAAGTCGACGAATAGCGGGATGAGTTCGGCGTTGATAACGAACTGAAATTTGCAGTTTTCTTGAAATTTCTTTGAACTAGAGCTCATTCGGCAGTCTCTCACAAACTTGATTGCCTTCGAAAGTCCCGCAAATCCAAAAAGAGTTGCGGAGGGAGGAAACCGGTGATCTGATGGACTAGAGGTTATTTTGTGGGTGAAGCGCTAAAGAGCACAATCGAATCATGGGAGTTTTTGAAAAGTGGAAACACCAAATATGGTTTTGTGTGCATTCTACCCGTAAATCTCTTGATGACCTCGTTCTAAAGCATGCCCTCCTTTCGTCTATTTAACGACTTTCTGCCAAAAATTTCATTCTTTTCAATTTGTTCAGCAGGTGTATATGCCGTAAATTCTTTAATAGTACCCCATCCTCCTCTAGTGTGTCCCACACGGCCGGCTAATCTTACAGTGTTTACGGGAAAGCTAGTAATAGTATTTTGTTCCGAGCGACTTTTCCCTTTATTAATTACGATGTTATCTCTGCTATAATTTTTCATTTAGGGGAGATGTCGAAACAGGCCGGAGAGCAGCAAGCCCCTCAACTTGAGGCTAATCCAAGTGGATTGACCCCAATATCCAAGTGGAGAACTGAGCCAACTATTGTTCCAGCAGGACTTCTTGGCACAATTGCCAAATGAGGTTTGTTAAAGCCTGTGGAGTAAATCGTTTAATTTTAGATTGCTTGTCGCATCATGGCCTTCTCCGCTTGACACCGCGCGATTTGGTGACTTGTGCTGGCGTTTCGCGGACGTGGCAACGGATTTCCGTGAAGATGATCAGACTGGGCGTCAGAAATGTTTGAGAAAAAGGATATGTGGAATTTGACCCAGAAAACTGCTTTACAGTTTTGCTGCGATATAATATAAGCACTTAAAAACAATACAAATCTGATAGATTTATATTAAACTAGATTTTAAGACTTGCAAAATAGATAGGACAATAATGAAATATTAATTCCTGAAAAGCCAAACAAGGATATAAAGCGAGAGAAAACATATGATAATGTTTTGCATTAGATGAGAACCAAGTCGATATTTAGGAAATCGATTGTAA